CTTTCCCTCTCCTTTTCATTTTCTCTCCATTTAGGACTGAACATTTAAACTCGTTATCTGCGGGTATGCAGACATCCGATTTCGCGGATACCCAAAAAACGAATACTCGATATTTAACAAAGACGAAAACGAATATTAAAAAATGGAATACCCGTCATACGGATTCAGATTCAGATTTCATATATTGAAATAAAGGGTATTCGCGGTTATCCGCATATATATTAAAATTATAAAATTACTTTTATAATCTTAATATAATTACCAAAATAACTAGGTTATTTCTAATGGATGTGATGCTCTAGGATGATCATACGATATGAGAACTATGTATGATACCATGTATTTATTGGATGAATGCATTGTTTGTTCATTATTTATTTTGCACATTTGATAAATAATGACATCCATGGATCGTTATGAACGATCATAAATTCCTTAGTCGCTTGTGATGGCTAGGATTTTATCTAGATTTTACACCGATTATGCCTTTGGTTTCTAAACAGTTTCCACACACACTAGGCATATTAGAACCATCTTTAGGTCTCTGGGACTAGGTTTTGACCATTGCAGGAACTCGAGGGTTTTCGGGACGAAACGGAGAAGACAGAAGTATAATTCCCAGATTTTAGGTCTGGAACGGACGGACCCATATGCTGGAATGGACGGACTGGGTGCACAGACCCGACAGACCACAAGAAAGCCTTCCGAACCAGGATGCCAGAACGAACGGACTGGATTATAACGCGGAACGGACGGTCTGTGAAGCGGAACGGACGGTCTGACTAAACCCGAAGATGGAGAGCGGACGGTCTGACGGAGAACCAACCTAGAACGGACGGACCACTTGACAGACTCCGCCAAAGCTACGTTGTTTCGCCATTCTCTTCGGGTTTTTGAGGGGAAAGGAGTCAAGAGAACCCTAAGTTTGATTGGGGGGCCGAAAATAGAGACATGGGGAGAGAAAAGGAGAGCTCTTGGAGGAGAAAGAAGAAGGAGGAAACTCCATTGAAGATTGAAGATTTCTTGAGCATCTCTCTACTCTCTCTATGATTTCTGCACTTTACCCTTGTTTTGCTTTGCTTTTGAACATGGGTTGTGAGTAGTTAGATAGTTATGGGTTGAGGGTGAATCCTCATGTGAGGATGTGTGAACCCACTTGATGAATTTATGTTTATACTTTGATTAGACCTTCATTTCATTCAATGGGTGATTTCTATGCTTATTTTCTATATCCCTCTTTGATTGAATCTCTTTGGAGACTTAGGATTCATGTGTAGATGGATTGCCATTGAATGAAAACGAACGCTTTGGATTGATGAATGGATTTTAATGCTCTCTTGGGATGAAAATCCCTTGAGTTGATTTTAGAGTCTTGGTTTCCATGGAGACATGACACCTCGACTCCTTGATGCATTCATTCAATAGGGTTGTGATTGAAAGCGAAGAAATTCGGTTCAATCCAACCTAGGATTTTGACAAGAGAGTTCAATGCACTCAAGATTCCATTCCAAGTTACGAAAGTAGATGGAATGTCCTCTTGGGTAGTGGGCATTTAGCTTGAGAGAGCAAATCTCGATCTTTATCTTGGAATCCCCAATTTCAAAGGAAGTATGAAATATATTCTCAATATTTAACACATCCCGCATGTTGGTGAACCCCGAAATCCATAACCCTTGGCCATTTGATTTCCCCTTTTTGAATTATTGCTTGCTTTGATTCTATTTCTCTCATTTAATTTTCTACAACTTTCAAAACCAAAAAACAATCATCAACTTTATTTTCACAAGTTTCCTAGTTTTAGTTGATTCCTAGCTTAACCGTTTAAGTCCTTGTGTTCGACCCCGGTACTACGACATCCGTATACTTGCGGATTAGTTGTGTTTCAGGTTATAAATTTAAGACTCGTCACGCTAGTGATCAGCTTGTCATTGTGGGAACAATGATGAATTAAGACTAACATGAGCCGTGATGGATGATCATGGTATGATCATGTGTATTGGATACATATCAAGGTCATGAGTACTTGTTTGGAACAAGTGTCTGGATGACTCGCGTGAGATTGTCGATTGGATTTAATGCATGACTTGAATCTCACTTGATGGTTCACTTTGGATCCTCAGACCTGAGATATCTATTGTATCCATCATGACGAGTAATATACTTTGACTGCGTCAAACATCGTCTTTAACCGGATGATTATAAAGGCGTGGCTCGGATATATTACGAATCATGTAATGGATAGTAGATAGTCAAGATGGAACTTTGTCCCTCTCGAAAGAGAGAAATATCACTTGGCCCGTCGTAGGAGTGAGACTGTAGAAATGTGTGGCCGCACTATAGATGAATGTCATCTATCTCTTACAGTATACTCGGGATACGACAAAGCGTTTGAACTATGAGTTCGATTATGATATCGTGAGACAAAGAGGATCATCGTTGGAGCTATCTCTGGCTTTTGGTTAGATCACATCTAACTCTTTCCGATACGGGTAATCATAATGTCTTGCTAGAGACCGCTTATGATTTGTAAAGCGAGATTGGATCTTGCGTTTACTGCCGTATTCGGAGGAGCCTAAAGGGTCACATACATATGGGATGGATGTGTATGGACGAGATCGAACGGACGAGAAAAATCGGATTTTTCTTTGTCTTTGAGGTCTGGTCCGGAGCTGACCAAGAGTTGGTCAGCCGGACCAAACGAACTTGGATGAAACGGACGGACTTGGCGAAAATGACTAGCTGGTCCGGGGCTGACCAAAAGTTGGTCAGCCGGACCAGACCAGTCAGACAGGCCGAATCGGGATGGCTCGGAGTTCGGCTGGTCCGGCGGACCGAAATCGTGGTCCGGATCATGTCTGGTCCGGCGGACCAAGATTCTGGTCCGCCGGATCGCGGATTGTCGGCAGAGCTCGGATTTTACGTGTGCTTGGTCCAGCCGACCAAGAGTTGGTCAGCCCCGGATCAAGACACTGAAAAATCCGAACTTCGCGTTTTCTCGCCTTTTTCTTGGTGGAAAGCAGGTGGGGAACCTATCATTCGACCTAATCCTGATCCTTAGTCATTTGAGAGGCTGGGGAACTCTGTAGAACTCTCTCTTAAGCTCAAGAGAATGTTCTTGATCCATACACAAGAGAATTGTTCTCTTCAAGCTTTAGCAAGCAAGATTCCAAGTGTTGGAATCCATCCCAAGGGTGTAGACTGCTCAAGAGGGTGTTGACACTTTCAACACCTTGGCTGTGATCACCTAACCACAATCGGATTGTGAATCGAAGGATTCAAAGATTAGTTTTCTCTCCAAGAAAAGTTCTTCATCGAAAGATTGGTCCGTGGACGGTTCAAAACGTTTTGGACGCCAATTCGCCGTGTAAGCCTGTGGACCAGATCCTAGCACGGTTTTGAACCGGCGGTGTAGGATCCTGTGTGATCCAGCAGTGGTATCAGAGCTCGGTTCTTCGTTTCGATGAAGAACAATCACTCTTGAGCAAGTTTGAAATTTTGTTCAAACTTGGTTTTTCTTTGGTTTTGATCTAAGATAAATCTGTTATATAATTGAATCTATGGTAGATTAAATTATGTAACAAGACTTAGATATGTGGAGGCTTGAATCATGAATTAACTCGAGAAGACGGAACGAAAAACGGATTCGAAATGAGCGAAAAATCATATCAAGATGAAAATTTTCATCTGATTTTTCTGCCCAGAATCACGTGGTCCGGCGGACCACAGGTTGGTCAGCTCCGGACCACGAGTTCGGACCATGTCAGCACGAGTTCGGCTGACCAGGAGAAGTGTTTCGGACCAAAGACAGTCTTGGTCTGGCGGACCAAAATGTTGGTCCGGCGGACCAGACGTCATTTGGTCAGGCGAGATCAGGCGGACCGAGAAAAGAAGGAATTTCGGACCAAACTGTCCTATCCGGCGGACCAAGTTGTTGGTCCGTCGGACCGGACGTGAAAGTTTGGTCCGACAAGATTTTTCGTTGGTCCGAGAGTGCTCCGACACGTCTGGTCCAGCTGACCAAGAGTTGGTCAGCCCCGGACCAGGATGTTTCGGATCAGATGGACCAAGGAGCTGGTCCGAGAAGGAGAGACGCGGACTGGAGGTGTCTGGTCCGGCGGACCACAGTTGATCCACCCCGGACTAACAGCCTCAGTCCGCGCGTACCGAGCTTGGTCCGTGCGCGAGAAGAAGCTGTCTTGGGTTTGGTCCGGCGGACCAAATGTTGGTCAGCCCCGGACCAACCCGGCTTACTCAGTTCGTTTTCTTCTCCGGTCCGAGCTGAGTCTGAGAACACAGTTATGGTTTGGTCCGGCGGACCAAATGTTGGTCAGACCCAGACCAACCAACTGTTTCGGAATTTTCGTGTTTTCGGAATTCGATTCGGTTAAGTAATGGTTACTTGACTGAGTTAATGATGATTGTTTTGGTTTATGACTTAATTATGTAGAGGGTCTACATGAATTAAGTACATAAAACTTAATCAAATATAAGAGTTACTTGACTGAGTGAGAGTTTCGGGACTTAGTTTACTAAGCTGAATAGACGGTCTATTCGGGCTAAGTAACAGAGTCGGATCAAAATATAATTGTTATATTTTCATCAATCGAGAATTGAGCTGTTACAATTAGAGTTTTTGTCAAGACCTTGGTAATTCGTGTATGGGACATGCCAAAGCTGTGCA